CTTCCCTCTTCCACTTTGTGTATGTATGCAATTACAATGTTATATTATTACACTGAAGAGACTAGATTTCCCCACAATGTGATAAAAACCTGTAACGTTTTACATTTTTTCGGTACGTACAAGAATAACCTCAGTTTTACTAAAATTTGTAAATGCAATCAAAAAACAAAAAGTGGCAAAAGTCTTGAAATTTTGTTGGATTACTTATGATTAAGGTTAGGGCTGGGTAGGGGTTGAGGTTGTCACAGGTGGTGTTAGGGTAATATGCATAGATGTGAATGGAGAGTCCCCATAAAGATATGAATATGTGGACTGAGCGCATGTGTGTGTCTATGTGTGTGTGTGAGTACAAGCAAATGCCCGCTTTGCCTCTGCACCTGGTCTGCCTAATCGACTCCCAGAAGCTGCATTCCAGTTACTAATTGGGTGTTTAAAGTTTGTACTTTCACTTCAATATCAGGATAATCAATGCCCCTCTAAAACATTTAACATTCATTAAGGGAATTGGTGTGGGAGAATGTTTTATGAAGAAATCAGTGCTGGTTCCTCCTGCCACATGCGATAGTGCACATTAAGGCATCGTGCAAGGATTTCATACAGCTCTAAAATCAAACTCTGCTCCCCAGAGTAATGTGATTTATTGGCAAGGTGCCATTTCTGTTTTGGTTCTGGAGGAAAAAGGTTCAGACTCATTTTTGTGTTGGTCTGACTCTCTGAGACACAGAAACGTCATCTACAATCTAAGCGACACTGCAACATGTGGAAGAAGAAGGGAGACAAACGAGACCTGTCATGACTGCATCTTACTTAATTCCCACACAAACATGCACTCCGCCGGGAGATATTACCACATTACAGCGAAAGGAAAGATGTAATTGGCCCATTTTGACAACAAGCCACACAATTTTGGCCCTGATGGAGTACTTTTAATTCATGAAAAGATGTGAATTCATGCCAGGACGAGTCTTTAGCAACTGGAAAGAAGAACCGATTAGGACACCCCCTGCCTGGAATAAACAGTAAAAATGGCAGGTAAACCACACATATACATGGATAATAGGGAGAGGATGGGGGGTGCAGGGTTAGGGTTGGGGGGTTAGGGTACCCACCGTACAGGATGTTAATGAGGGACACAGGCATGACCAGGATGCCAACCAGCATGTCCGCCACAGCCAGCGAACGTAGGAAGAAGTTGGTGGCGTTCTGTAGCCTCTTCTCCAGGGACACCGCCAGAATCACCAGGATGTTACCGCCGACCGTGAGAAAGATGACGACCAGGAATAGCAGGGCTGGCCAGTTCTTCTCGCGTTCAGCTACCGGAACGGCGGCACGGGCTGCTGAGAGATTGGTGGCCGGCTCTGCCCCCAGCAGAAGGCTGTGGTTCAGGTTGACGGAGGCATTTAGCGGCCAAGCTGGCCACCCCCAGAGCAGGGCCGCCTCGACAGGGACTGTGGTGGAAGTGAAGCCCGCTGGCCGCGAGCCACTCGAGGCTCCCATAATGCGCGAAGTCCGTCGCTGTTATTGCTTCGGCCTCCACCAGGGGGCGATAGAGAGACGGATCAGCACGCACAGACACATTCAGAAAAATCGGACTGAATGCTACTGGAGGAGCAGGATCAGACTTGCCAAAGTTGTCAATTTGTCAGTTGCTCCCCACAGAGGACAACATCAGAGAAAATCCAACGACATCAGGTGACACCATTGTCTGTCTAGTGCCTGTTTTTGTTTCCTCGTCGTCAGGATCAAAGACGCCTTTGCTTTTTGATTACCGAGGTGGAGATAAGCAGGGCCTGGAAGATGAAAGGTAGCAGACATACTTTGGTTGCCGATCAGTCAATCTGCATGCATGCAAACACATTGTTTTATCTGCTTGTTAAGTGTGTTGTAAAACAAAACAATCAGCCAATATTGCCAAATCCATGTTCTGTAATCAGTTGGTCCCATTCAGGGGTGCAGGGGGTCCGGACCCTATAGGCACAAGGCAGGGAACAACCCAGGATGGGGCACCAACCCATCAGTAACTTGGCAACTCCAATTAACCTTAACATGTTTTCGCACTGTGGGGGGGAACTGGAGTACCTGAAAGAAACCCCACAATGACACGGGGAAAACATGCAAACTCCACACACATTGAGCCGTGGTGGAGACTCGAACCCGAGTCATAGAGATGTGAGGCAACAATGCAAACCACTATACTGCTGTGCTGCCTCAACACTGCCAAATGTCTGCCAAAACTTGATTTCCTATCTCAAGATAAAGAGGTGGTTTTTAATATTCTGATTCAATGGCGTCTACAGCCTCATCAGAATGTACCCCCCCCAAATGATAATGGAACAATCTCTTCCATAGTTCAGAACCCAGAAATTCTGTGAAGGCTCCTTTTGGAGGGGGGGGAGGGGGGGGGCAGTCCATTTCTCCAGCCACAGAAGGATCTACCCATGGTGTATCCTTTTCCCACTGTCACCCGCCTCTCATTTGGGAGGCCCCCTTACATCTTGGTGGGGGGGCTGCACAGGCAACCTCCCGTCCTGCAGTGCTGCTCCGGAGCCCATCGCCACTGGCAGACGCTCTGTCCTCCTGCGGGCGCCATGACACACGGACGCTGCCTCTGGGTTCATCCACCCTGTGGCAGGAAGAGGCAGGTGGGTGTGAGGAAGCCGGGG